ACTTCGTAATTTATTTCCCTTTTACTAATATAACATGCATACAAATTAAATAAACCCAAAAAGGTGATCATCATTTACGCGAATATTAACAGCTTTTATTGAAAACCACAGAAACGAGTACACACGTATTCAGAAGTTATTTAGAATACACCGTTTTAGTGGTAAGGTCACGACGCCGTGTTATGTCTTGATTCTAAATAAACCACAATATCTATGTTTTTCCATAGATATCTTATGTCTTTTTAAAATAATATTTTGTATAGAAAAATAAAAGATTTTATATGTAAAAGTAAAGCATCTCGGTGCTGTTTTGTATCTGTGTTAAATGCCCTTTCTCTTGTTGCAAAATGAGTTTCCACCAGAAGTTTCATCACTAACCTTTTGTTATTTTGCGATTCATTTCAAGAGCTTTCAAAATATTTTTGAGTCTCATCAGTTAGCGGAAGAAACCTATTTGTATTTAAAGCTTACATTTGACATTTATTTGCAAGTAATCAAACAATTTATATTAGAGTTTATTCATTTCTTTACGTTAATAGCAATTTTAAACAAATTTGGAAGTAGTGGTAGCCAAAACAAAAGAAAGTAGAACCATATTAAACGAACGTATAATGAAGCTGAAAAACGAGATGAGAAAGAACAAAGAAAAAAGTGGAACAGCAGGCGGTACTGTAGACTAGCGCGAAGCTTCATACTGTTTTCTGTATTTTTAAAATTTAAGTAATATATTTAGAATTAAAAAAAGTAATTTTATTATTTATTTATTTTTTTGTATTTTATAACAAATTCGATAAATTATTATGTTTCCTCCTAACGACACCTATTAACATATTAACAAAGTATACGTTGTTTACTTAAAACAGACTTGTCAAATTCGGACCAAATATTAATAATAAAATATAAATACATATCATTTGATAGTAAATTTAATTATTATCCAAACTGAATACTATTATGTTTAAAATAATAAATATATTCATATAAAATTATTTTAAAACGAGAATTGTAAAAATTTAAACAGATGATTCAATTATAAGTTTTATTAAATTTTGACAATCGTTACGAATCGAATCTTTTAGTGACAGCTACTGTTTTAATTTTTTACTTCTCACTTAATGTCTATATTTTGTTGAATATTATTTATGCAGTTTTAATTGAAACGTACCTAAAGTAAATAAATGACTATAAACGAATTGATCGAGAGTTGTGAGTTGATGTAAAGAACGGCTATTCTATGACGCTACTCGTGACGACGCCATTTTATGGCGCGAGTTCCGTGACGCTCCTCTCAACATTTTACTGTAGGGAAAAAAAGTAATACAATACCAGTATAGAAGCTTCGCTTCAACAAGTATAAGAAATACTGAAGACGATAAGGCTTACGATAAGTCCAATTTAAAAAAAAAATCATCCAAAAAAAGTAGGTGAAAAAAAAAAAAGTAAGTGATAAACACAAGAAAACATACAATTTATACAAAAATTAATATAACTTGTTAATATTTCGATTCCTGATACATTAACAAAAATTAGTTTTTAATAAATTTTTTTGAATATATCAAGCTATTAGATTACAGATTACAAATTAGGGTGGCTCTCGACTTAACACATTGCGACCTTTACATATATATTGTACTTCTCTTTGTCACTTAAAACTCCTCATCTAGCCCGATCCTCTTAATGAGCTTCCACAGCCTTGAGAGGGGTCCTTTAATATAGACTGATGCTTTTGGGTTTTCCTCTCCGAGTTCTAGATACCGCAGCCTTGTGAGGCTTCATACTGACATAAGACGTGCAGGGCGGTTACTTCTTCTTCTAGACAGAACCTACCAGTATCCTGTTCCGTCAGGCCCATACGACTCAAATGATAATTGACGACAAATGATAATTAAGTGACGAGTCAACAGCTCCATTATCACCCTGACAGTCTTTCGATTGTGGATCAGTAAGTCTGCTGTGAATGTCCCTTAATAAACTCTTTAGTCTGTCTTTGTCCTGGTGTATTTTCCACCATTCGAAAAACTTTATTTGTCCTTATTGGTGGACCCATTTTTTAGTCTTCCCTTTTGGTACTATGATATTGAAATGTTCAATGAAATGCGAATCAACGCTATACCTTTGGATCATTTAGCAACAGTTAGAATTTCTTCTTTAAAAGTGAGGGGAAGACTAAAAGTCTCTGGATTATCTAGTAGAGGATATGCCACTGCTGCTGCTACTGTTTACCATAGATAAAATATTACACAGAGTAAGATTTGTCAGTGATCGTGGACGTTTGGCGATCAATGATTGGAAGAGGGTTTTGTTTACAGATGAAATTAGATTAGACTGAACCAAAAATCTTAAGACCATCGTAATAGAGTATGTCGAAAACTTGGGAACAGGTCTTGTGATTGAGCTATATCTGAAAGGAAAGAGTTTGGTGGTAGATTAAATATGCTCTGGGAACGAATTTTTATTTGATGCACACAATAATTAATTATCACTTGTACTGTCATCAAGTGCCATAGTCTGAGGACTAGTACGCACTCCGATGCGCATCGCTCCGCCTCGAATTTTCCTGTTGGCTGGTTAACCTGAAAATACCATATAACTATTAATATACTTATAAATAAGGGTGATTTTTAGGCCAGTCAGGTCAGTCCTTCACGGGCTCCCCTAGGGCATAGCGCTATAGGGGCTCTGCTTACTATTGTCTAAGGCTCTGTGGCTGAGTTTTATTCAACTGTATCCGAAGTTTTATTTTAACCCTTTTTGTGGTTATTTTGTAAATACCTAGTCTTTTTCAAGACAAGGTAACATCGAATAGAGCCTCCGGCGTTTGTTTTAAAGGGTTTTATACCCTATATTTTCCACTCCGAGGCGACGTACAGCCCATGAGTGCCAATTATATCTGAAAATCGTTTTATAAGACAACAATACTATGCCTTTTGAACAAATTCTACAAGACATGCAAGATCTATACAAGAACTTACCTATTAGAACTTCTCTAAAACTAGATTGATCGCTGCTAAGTTCATATTTGAATCTAGTTAGGAGCCTTTAGAATATTCTCCAAAAATCTATTCCTCGTCATGCACATGCTCTAATATCATGCAAAGATTGTAGCATGTTTGATTAGAATGGCAAAATTTTCGCAAGTCGCTGTCCAGAACTTAATAACAATTTTATTCAGACGAATGGAAGCTCGAGGTTATACGAACTCGAGAAAATGTAAAGCGTTAATAAACTTTTAAATTTTTTGTGACTATTGCTAAATTTTGTTTAATAATTTCAATTTTAAATAGAAATAAAACATCTTCATTGCAATATTTTTTAATTATCTATTAGCACGTTATCCTTATATTAAATTTATAGAATATATATTAGAATAACACAAATCTAATATCATTAATTCCAGTTGCGCTATAATTTTGAGTAAGAGTATATTGCATAACTTTCTGAAGAGCAGAATAAGAAGTAGTACTACAGTTCTTCATTATGAGCTTTTTAAACCTATCGAAATGGTCGTTCTCTTCTTTGGATTATTTTAGGTATCTTGGCTTCCTCTACAATTTTTCTCCATTTTTTTCTAACCCTTTCTAATATCATCATATGTCTAATCCTCATATCTTTTTCGTCTGACCGTTGGTCTGTCTACCATAAGTATTCTTCTTGAAATTTTTGTGATTATTTTTTCTGGGTATTTCCTCTTAATGTGCCCCTTATATCTTAGTATTTGTGCCTTGATAAACCTAACAAATTCTTTTGCATTTATGATGCTTATTATTTCGTAATTCATTAGGTTTCTGGTTTCACAATTACGAAGTTTACTTAATATGTGATTATTCTTAAAATTTCCCTCTCTCTCAATTTTAACTCATTTTTCTGTATTTAAAATACAATTGTTTTGCATTCACAATATAACCACTGCCACTGGTCTGATAATGCTCTGTAGATGTCGATTAGTGTTTCTGGTATTTTACTTTATTATAAGTAATTTTTGATATTTTCGTTATCTAACATCAGTCGATATTTGAAGTGTTGAACTAAAATACGTTCTCTGCATTGCTTTTTTTAATACCTTTCGCGTTTGTGGAGCAGAATAGGTATTTTCTTTTCTGTTGGTGGGTAATTTTTACCTACTGGTTTAATTGGAAGCGAATGAGCGAATTACTCTGTGATCAAAAAATCGGGGAAGGGCTGAAAGGACAGATATACAAGAGTGTGGTGAGGCCTACGGTGGGGCAGTGTGGCCGGTAAAGAAGGTTCGGGAAAAGAAGATGGACGTACCTGGCATGAAAATGTTACGGTGGATGTTGGGTAAGACTAGAGGAGACCAGGAACGACGTGATTAGGGAGAGAGCCGGGATGACTATGATCAAAAGATTCAAGAATAAAGGGTGCATTGGTTTTGTCAGGTCAGACGTAGAAATGAAAACTACGTGGGATGAAGGATAGAGCTGTTAGAAGTTGATATATAGAGAGGTAGAGGAAATCCGAGGAGAAGGTGGAGATACTATGTGACAGAGGTCTTGAGAGAGAAAGGTTTAGGTGAAGAAGACATGGTGGACAGAAATGACTGGTAAAGAATAGTAAGGAAAATAATTTTAACTCTGCATTGGTATACATTTAGACACTTTTCTTACTAAACAAATATTTATTTTATTGTGCATCTTCAGTATTTATTTATCTGGTCATATTAAATGAATGATTAAAAATTATTTAAACTGTTTATCGTCTTCTTTATTTTGTTACATTTTATTTCCCCCATACTATTTTTAAAGGCATTAAAATACTTTGACAATCAATCAATATTTATACAGGTCAATAGGTTTTTATTTTATTTCAAAACGATTTTCAAATTTCAAAGATAAAAACCTTGTAAGTTAATAAAGTTTTAGCAGATTAAATACAGCTTAAGGTGCAGATTTTTATCCACTTCAAGGTTTTTAACTTTAAAACTAAACCGCGTGTCTTATGTTAATATATTCTAATAACGATGTAATTGTTTAATTATACAGAACGATCAACTGAAGGAAGCGTTAGAGGCTGAACGCAAAGGCATGGGAAAATATTTAATTCAAGGAAGACAATTGAATGATGATCTATATTGTATGGAAAAGCAGGTATGTACATGCATTGTTTAGGTATAGTTGTTATCGAACGCGTGCATGCACGAATACCGATTCTGAATCATCCAGCGGACCAGCAGCGGTCACGCTGATGTGATGACGAGAATAGTAATTTAGCATTGTTTGTTGTCAGATTTATTTGTTGTCAGTCGATGCATACAGTGAAAACATAAATTGTGTCCATTGTACGATACAATAAAAATAAATGATAATGATTAAAGAGATAATAAAACATAAAAATAAGGCGGTCAGTCCATCCCCAATATTGTTAAACTTTGTATTCAATCAATGATTGACGAAAATTCCTTTTGTAAATATTGAAAACTACTGATTTAAAAAAAAAATCAACATTACAATAACTATTTTGAAGTTAATTTTAATCTATTCGATTAGAAATTTTTGTCTTTTAATTGCGTTGATAATTTCTGTGTATATGATTTTTTTGTCTGGGTTATAGATTTCGCATGTAGAATTTTTTTTTCGCCCTTACATGGTTTATAGGCATGTATGTCTATGAAAATCTGCAGAGAAATTCAACTACACGCCGACACAAATAACACCAAAGAACTCTTTGATAAAGTCAGACAACTCACACGTAAATTCAAGCAGAAATCTTGGTCAAAGATGATGAACGTAATGTACAGACGGATTTGGACAAGGTTATTGATGTTTGGAGGGCGTATTGTAAGTCTTTATACGCCAATACGGACCAGATGCCAGCGGACGCCCCGTTTCTACCTGACTGCCAGACCTCCACTTTCCATTCTCCTTCAACAGAGACACACCACACTAGTTTTGAGTCTGAACCTGACATACTTTTTTCCGAGGTGGAATTCGCTTTAAAAAGACTTAAGTTAAACAAAGCAGCAGGATATGATCTCATTACTGCAGACGTCTTGAAGCATCTTCCGGAATGTGGAGTGAAAATATTACATCGATTGTGCAATGAAATATGGCACACAGGCGTCTGGCCTGAGGATTGGAGAAAGACCATAATCATACCTCTTCATAAGAAAGGTTCAACAAATAATTGTAACAACTACAGGCTATTAGCTCTAATATCACACGCCAGTAAGGTGATCCTCTACATACTGCAACGGCGTCTAGAAAACTTTATAAGTTGGCAAATAGCACCTGAGCAGGCTGGATTTGTAAAGGGCAGAGGTACTAGAGAACAAATCCTTAATGTACGAAACATCATAGAAAAAGCCAGAGAATACCAGATCCCGATATTTATATGTTTCGTCGATTATACAAAGGTCTTTGATAATGTTAGATGGGACAAACTATGGAACATATTGACGACAATGGGTGTACCTAAACACTTGACTCACCTTATTAGCAAACTGTATCAAGATAACCTGGCATATATTCGAATGGACGGATATCTGTCTGACAAATGCACTTTGGAGAAGGGAGTACGCCAATGATGCGTTTTATCTCCCTTATTATTTAACATCTATTCGAAGTTTATAATGCGCAGAGTTTTGGATGGTTGGGAGGGAGGAGTAAACCTAGGTGGTGTTAAGATATCTAACTTGCGTTTCGCAGACGACACTACACTTCTACCCTCTAGTCCAGAAGAAATTACTAGATTATTAAAAAAACTCGAGGTAGAAAGTGCTAAATTTGGACTCATGGTTAACTACAACAAAACCAAAATCATGGTTATTGATCGCCAACAACAGTTTCCTGAAACCCAAACTATTGCGGGATGCGAGGTAGTCTCATCTATGATATATCTTGGAGCTCTAGTTAACAACACAGGCAGTTGTGAATCCGAAATTAGAAGACGCATTCAACTAGCAAGAGCAGCAATGAGTGAACTAAACGGGGTCTGGCGTGATCATCACATTACTATCACAAACAAAAAGAGACTCGTTTCAACTCTGGTCTTTTCCATATTTTACTATGCATGCGAGACATTGACAGTCAAAGAATCAGATCGACGACGTATAGACGCCTTTGAAATGTGGACATGGAGACGCCTGCTTCGAATTCCATGGACGGCTCGCCGTACAAATATCTCGGTTCTGGATGAAATTAAACCGGATCAACGTCTCTCCAGTACCGTTTACTCTAGAATTTTAAAGTTCTTTGGCCATCGAAGTGATCACAAAATGGAGCGGTTGGTGGTCCAAGGAAGGCCTCAGACTCAACGCCAACGCGGAAGATCTCCACAGCGATGGGCGGACATTACTAAAAAGCTTCTCAATAAACAGTATACTGAGGCAATACATATAACTGATGACCGCGAGCAGTGGAGAAATATTATCAATCAAACTGTCCGAGCTGCTGAAGCCCAATTATGAACCACAACACATCTACTAAGATGTTAATGACTGTGATGATGATGTCTATGATGTTAATAATGGTCGATATGGTGTTCACTCTCTGGCAGGAATAACGGCCAACGCTATATTTTTGATAAAACAAACTTTCTATTATTTATTGTAGGTTTTGTTAATTATTGGCACGGTTTGTGTTTTCATGTTTTCGTAAAACCTTTTTTCAAGAGAATTAAATGTAAACATCACTAAAAGAAATTCAGCTTCTTTCATAGATATTATCAATAGAATAATAATTGGAACTTTTATTCTGTAGATCTGCTTCACATTCCTATTAAATGCCAAGTCAAGCTAATCATTATATTAGGAAAATACCAACTTCGATTAAATATTCCCTATAATGGCGAGTGCCATGAGGTTGTGTATTGGCATGCATTAGTATACAGTTTTCTCCAATAAAACGTTATAAGGACTTAACAGCTAATTAAGCGCGAATCAACTTGTTTTTTACCTACAAAATACTAGCAATATTACGTATGTGGATATAATGCAATTAGAATATATCAGATTTGTATTTTCGTGTATTAATATCGTAAAGGAAGTATACACACACAAAGTTTCAAGACTCTACGTCCTCTTTATCCCTCTTATCTGTAATTTTAGTGTCGTTTGATCCAATATAATAGTGTTTTTCCTTGAACTAAGAGGAACCTATGTACCAAGCTTTAAGATTTTTAATTTATACAAGCAAAATTATTATACGAACCTACGATAATCAATAAACGGAAACGTCATAGTAACGTTCATATCCTTTTTGTAACATTGTATTAAAGGCAAGGTTAATGTTATCACGTCATCAATCATGTTAGTGAGAGATTTTCTTGTACTATCTGGAATATTTTCAATCTGGAAGAGATTTCATAATCAAAACTATCTTCAGGACATCTTGCCGTTGCGAGATGTCTCGCAAATAAGATGGCTGTAGTAAACTTAGAAAAATATGGATTAAATGGAAGGACGTCAGCGTTATATTGAGTGACAAAAAATTCCCAATGAATCGAAGAAGTAAATTTTTAAAAACTATAAGACCAGCTTTATAAAAAGTATCGTTTCAAAAAGGAGCAGGAGTTTGACTACCTAGGGGTTACCTTGACAAATAAAGGGGAAGAAAACCCAGAAATCGAGAGGATTGCGAAAGAAAGAAGAATCCAGAAATATAATTCCCCTTTAAGCTTAAGAAGAAGAACCGGTGGAGCACTGCACAAACTATTAAAAGCAAAAAACATTTCGAGGCGGGAAAATTTAGACCGTACCGAAAAATCTAGGTTATAAACCAAAATTAGGAAATATGCTGAATATCTGGGAGAGCAGTGCTTTATGTTTTGAAAAGTTTTCTTTTCCAATTGAAGGAGGCGAAAAAATGCAAACATTATTGAGCTGTACGGAAACCCAGAAATTAGCTGTATCGTTAGTTTAAAAAGGCATAGATGGTTGGATCACGTGGCAAATGTGGAAGACGTACAAAGGATTGTGTACTGAGAGGTGAAGGGAGTAGAGCACGACCACGAAAGAAGTGGTCGTGCTTCAAAAAATATGTATAAAAAGCTAGAACTTCGGCCACGAACAGAGTTAAATAGAAAAAATCAGTCGAAAAATTTCAAACCAAGGGCTAAGGCCTGTACCAACTATAAGTACAAAAGCTGGATTATATGAAATACCTAGAGGAAACTAGTGGCAAAGAATAACTTGAAAGAATTGGCAGATTTCTTTAAAACAGCGTACGATATGGGAATAATACTCTGACTATCGAACACTGAGCCTCAAGTGGCATACTTTAAAAGAACTGCTTAAAGTTATACATAAGAGAAATTATGAAAATTAGATGAGGATATTAGTAAGACGCAGTTTGGGTTCTGAAATGCAATGCGTACACGAGAAGGACTATTTTCCATCAATATACTGATTTAGCTATGTCGTGGTGTAAACGTTGATCTACGCTTGTGCTTTGTGGACTACGAAAAAGCTTTCGATAGAGTAACACATAAAAAGCTAAGATCAATACTTACGAATAAGCTCATTGACAGTAAAATCATAAAGATAATCCGAATATTATATTACATAGTTACATAGTTACATATAAACAGTCAGAAGAAATAAAGATCTCTAGAGGAGTTAGACAGAGATGCGTTTTATCGCCACTTTTGTAACTTATATCTGAAGAAATTTTCACAAAGCCCTCAACTACACAGGGAAAATTAACTTAACAACTTACTGGGATGGGAATTACTATAATCGCTAAAAAAGAACGAAATATATGCTAAACGTGATAGAACAAGTAGGAAAATATCAGAACTTGGAAACTTTGATCAATGAAACTGATGATCAATCTGAAGAAATAAACAGACGAATAGAGATTGCCAGATCAGCATTTATAGGAATGAAGCCATTCCTAACGTGTAGAAATCTTAATTTGGAAATCAGATTACATACCATTCGATTTTATATATTTTCAATATTATTATATGGCTTGACTTGACTGAGCCGCGACATTAAAAAAGAATCGAGGCTTTCGAACTCTGGTTATACCGCAGAGTATTAAAAATATTATGGACTGGTAAAATTACAAAAAAGTACTGGAGAGGGTTGGTAAAAAACAGATTTAATCACCACCCTACAAACAAGAAAAGCGAAGAGAGTACCAAAATA